CCTGTTGTGGTGTTGAGGCCCTGGGATATTGCCCAGGGAGGTGGTGGAGTCACTATCCAACCATGCTTTGATACCTTTCAGGGATGGGTAAGTTAGCTCAAAGGAAACTTCTGCAGGGTCAGACACATCCAAAGGTTTTCATTACCATTCTGTCTTCCAGTTACTACATGTTTCCTCCTCTCTTGTGATGGTGATGAATGTTATGGTTATTATCAATAAATTATGACTAATCTATTGCTATGTATGATTAATATCTGTAGCTCATGGGCAGTTTCTCCCCCACCATCACCCCCAAGTCTCTCTCCTCATTGCTGCTCTCAATCCCTTCCCCACCCAACCTGGAGCTGTGCCTGGGGTTGCCATGGCCCACATGTAGGACCTTTTCTGTATTTAAAAAAGCTTTTTCTGATTTTAGAAGAAAGAGGAAGTGACTTGAGATAAACACAGAATCTTGATCACCGTTGTATTTTGTACTGGATATCACCCTGTTCACTGTTTTATTCCTTGGGTTCACGTTGGATTGGTTTTTCTTTCCTCTCTTAGGGAATCCTGCTATTGGAATTCTGAAGCACAAGGAGAAATGTTATGTTTTCAGTTCCAAAGAAGCTGCACACAACTTTGCTCAAGACCCAGATAAGTTCATCCGATTGAACATAGAAAAAGCGAAAGAATATGCAGAGCTAATTAATCTGCTGGAGCTCCACCAGCAGTTTGGACACCTTGTTCCACATGCACAGGTACACACTGCACATGCCCTTTGCCCCCTTGGGTCACTGCTTGGTCTGCCCTTGTTAGGACATAGAGAACAGGTGATACCCATCCTTGGGAAAGGAGGAAAACCACCTGCCTACCATACAGAATGTGTGAAGGTCCAACTCTTCCAGGTCTTCAGAGTGGGGAAGAAAACTTCTCACTTAATGTTGTTCTCCCCTTATCTCTTCCCAGGAGAATATCTAGAGCCAAAGGATTGTGGTAGTGATAAAAGCAGGAAGGTCCTGTGTCTTCTCCTCACTTTGGCAAAATTAACTGCAAGGGGCTGTAAATAAAAGCAGTAGAAGATGAGTCAGATACTGTCCAGATTTGGTTTGGATTCATAGACATTCTCTGTGATCCACTGTGAATTTTAGGCCCCTATCTGTGAAATGATTTTGGTCTTGAACTGTGAGAAATACAGTTCATAGAATCACAGAACCATCCAGGTTGGAAGAGACCTCTCAGATCATCGAGTCCAACCATGATCCTGTCATGCTGCAACCCCTAAACCCTAAACCAGATCCTCCATATATCATAAAGGCAAACTGAGCTGCCTGCAGCCAAAATACTGGTGGTGGTGCTACCTCCCTTTACCAAAATCCAAGGCTGAAGTACTCACTAGGTATGTGGGAGCCTAAAACTCAGCTGTGGCCTCTGCCTAAAGGGTTCTCTGTCAGAAATTAAATCCATCTTAATGTTTTCCATCCATACTTAAGGTTTTCTTCTTTATAGAGGGAACAAAACCACAGTTGAATATAAAAACTGTTACTCATTTGTGGTTTGCAGTTCTCTATTTGCTTGTGAAAAAATAGCATAGCCATGTGTTTTTTCTCTGGATTATCATCGATGCCTCTCTGAGCTTTGGTTGTTTCTTTCCATCCAGGCCAGAAATGCAGACAAATACTTGATGGAACCAACCCCAACGTGTGAGATCAGTACTCAGACTGATACTCACATCTTACCTCCGACTGTCGTGGCATCCTATGAGTGGAACGAATGGGAAATGAGGAGAAAAGCTATAAAACTGGTTTGTATTGTTCTTGGTAGGCTTTCATTGTGGGATAGCAAAGTTGAGGAGAAATTTTTCTTAACTTTTGTCCCTTGGAACATAAATCTAACCTCATTCAAAGGCATAAATTTCATTACAGTTGGCTCAAGTGGTTTTTCCCCCAGGTATTTTCTCACCTTATTTCAAGACTTTCTTCTTCTCTCATCTTCTCTCACTCTCTCTATATATATTTGTACCCAGTTTTTGAGCTCTGTCCATTCCTTTGAAACGGTTCAGTTGTCTTCTTTATGTAAGGAGAGTTGGAATTTTAAACTTGTTTTTCCACACTCAAGTCAGTTCAACAGGTTGAAGATATTTACTGTATCACTTCTTTGTGAAAAGAAAAAAGGTAACAGAAAGATTTGGGTCAGGTAAAACTTTATTGCAAGTGGAACAGTTGATATTAATCATAGATCACAATAGATATTAGTCATAATCGATTGATAAAATAACCATAACATTCATCACCATCACAAGAGAGGAGGAAGCATGTAGTAACTGATGACAGAATGGTAATGAAAACCTTTGGATGTGTCTGACCCTGCAGAAGTTTCCTTTGAGCTAACTTACCCATCCTTGAAAGGTACCGAAGCATGGTTGGATAGTGACTCCACCTCCTCCCTGGGCAATATCCCAGGGCCTCAACACCACAACAGGGAAAACATTTCTCCTCACATCCAATCTGACTCTGCCCTGGCTCAGCTCAAGGCCATTCCCTCTCTCCTCTCCCTCAGCCCTGGCAGGACACACATCCCACACCTCTCTCCAGCCCTGGCAGGAGTTGCAGAGAGCCAGGAGGTCACCCCTGAGCCTCTTCTCCAGGCTGAGCAACCCAACTCCCTCAGCCCTTGCCCAAAACACAAACACACCTCAGTACACACTAGTGCTAAAATGTTCAAACAAGATGTTGATTGATCTTCGTGTTTTTTGTGCCTTTAGGCCAATCTGCGCCGCAAAGTGACTCACGCCGTGCAGACTGACCTCAGCCACAGGAGAAGAGAGAACTCCAGCCAAGTGTACTTGCCCAAGGATGTCAGCACACAGACTAAGTGTGACAGCTCCAGCAATGTGCCCAGACCACAGGTTTTCTTGGCAGGTCTCCGAGGAGGACCCTGTGCTACAACTCGTGTGGTCAAGGTAGACTTAACAAGAGCAGTTGATGAAACTTAAGTGAACGTGAGAGACCTGAGGACTCATATTGAATGGGTGCATAAAACTCTGTATATGTCTGAGTTAAGAGACTAAATATTTTGCTGTGTCTGTTGGTACCAAGAGCAGTTGGTTTGTTTCATTTATAGTCATAGAACCATCAAGGTTGGAGGAGACATCTAAGGTCATTGAGTCCAACCATAAACTGTCACTGCTGGAACCCCCAAACCCTAACCCAGATCCTCCAGTGCCACATCAGACACCTCTGAAACACCTCCAGGGATGGTGACTGCACCACCTCCCTGGGCAATATCCCAGGGCCTCAACACCACAGCAGGGAAAACATTTCTCCTCACATCCAATCTGACTCTGCCCTGGCTCAGCTCAAGGCCATTCCCTCTCTCCTCTCCCTCAGCCCTGGCAGGACACACATCCCCCACCTCTCTCCAGCCCTGGCAGGGAGTTATCTTACTTGTTGAGGCTGCTGACTGGTCCCACCTCCCTACTCCAGCAGGGCCAGCCTAGAGCTCATGGCTCAGGGCTGTGTCCAGAGGGGTCTGGAATATCTGCAGTGAGGAGAATCCACGACCTCTCTGGGCAATCTGTTCAGTGCTCAGGGACTGCACAGCAAAGAAGTTCTTCCTCCTGTTCAGGTGGAACTTCCTGGGCATCAGTTTGTGCTGTTCCCTCTTGTTTGATTGGTTTTCCCACTGAGCAGAGTCTGATCATCCTCTGGGCACCTCCTGTTCATGTCACAGAATGTCACAGCCTTAGAGCAGAACTGTCAAGAAGGTAAAACCAGCCAAAGGAATCCAGTCTGGGTCCTTGGGACTGACATTAACTTGAACCAAGGTGTGTAGGCCAAGGCAGAGAGGCTGGGAAAAGGTTATCTCTCTTGGGTGGCCCTGACAGCCTTTTAGGTCTCTAGTCATTTCTCTGTAGCTTGGCTAAGCTCTGTGCTGCTGAGCATCCTGCAAAGCACAGGAACTTGGCTGCAGGGCACCTTTTGGAAAGCTCTAAACTTGTGTTTAGAAAACCAAAGCACCAAGAGGAAAAGGTTTCTAGGTTTATGTCATTGTGGCAGAGAAATATGTGCCAAGTCTGCAGGCAGCTGTAAGAACCTTTGTCTGTGAGAACCTGGATCGTCTGAGCTTTCAGATGGAGCATCCTCTCCAATGGGAGCAGGGGGTGCTTTAAAACAGAGATCCTTCCATGACAACGAAGAGCTCCAGCAAAGACTTGTTACCTGCACAATGTCCAGGGGCACAGCTGTGATTGCACAGGGTGTGCTGAGGATTCTAAGGCTCTTTGTTTCGTGTGTGCACCGTGTGGTTCCCTGCATCATTGTTACACAGCCTGGTGACAATGAAGCTCCACAATTCAAGCTGCTGAGTGATATTTTTTCTCTGTGGCATTGCGCAGGATTCTCTTTAGGTTTAACTCTTTCCAAGGTATCTGGCTTCACTTTTAATAGTTACACAACTGGGACAAATCCACAAAGCATCATTAGAGGAACAAAACATGAGGGAAGCACTAAGAAAGAGCTTTGCTAAATGTTGTTTCACTAGGTGATTTTGTCTCTTGGGAAAATAATCAGTAGCAGCAGCAGATGTGCTGCTCTTCCCTGTTTTTACACCATGAGCTGGCAGCTCATTAGATCTATTAATCAGAGTGTGAATGGCATTACCAGAAGTAGCTGTTTTGTTTTCAGAGATAAACATCCTGTTGCTGCTTAAATATCTATGGTTGCTGCCATCTCTTTGTACTTTTGCCACCATTTGGAGCTTTTATATTACATTCATATTTTATTATATTTCCCAACCCTGGCAGTGTTCACAGCCAGGTTGGATGAGCCTTGAGCAACCTGCTCTGGTGGGAGGTGTCCCTGCCCAGGGCAGGGGTTGGGGCTGGGTCAGCTCTCAGCTCCATTCCAACCCCTAAAATTCTACGATTTCAAGAATCTATAAGTACATTTTTTTAAAGTAAAACTAAGGAGTGAAAATACATTTTAGCCATTTGTTCTTTCCCATTGGAGAAGGCACTGCAGTGCTTTAGGGGAGCTTTAGGTTGGATATTAGGAAGAGATTTTTTGTGGAGAGAGTGCTCAGGCATTGGAATGTGCTGCCCAGGGAGGTGGTGGATTCCCCATCCCTGGAGGTTTTCAAGCTGAGACTGGATGTGGCACTTAGTGCCATGGGCTAGTGACCACGGTAGGGTTGGACTTGATGATCTTGGAGGTCTTTTCCAACCTGATTCTGTGATTCTATGCATACAATTGTAACCTACACAAGTTTTGGTGTGGGAAAAACGTGTCCAGACCCGAGAGCTTACTCCCTAGCAATGAGAAACACGTGTGTGACATTCCCGGGTGCTACCACCAATAAAACAGCTGAGGAAAACGGGTGAGTTTGCCCTCCAAAGCGGCTTTACGGGCGTGCCAGGGTGGGACGGGGCGGGATGGGATGGACGGAGCACAATGCTCCGAGCGGGACGGGATGCTCCGGGTGGCGCGGGTTGCTCCGGGCGGGATGCTCCGGACGGGACAGGATGCTCAAGGCTGGATGCTTCGGGCAGGACTGTATGCTCCTGACGGGATGCTCCAGGCAGGGCAGGATGCTCCGGGCAGGATGGGATGCTCCTGACGGGATGGGATGCTCCTTACGGGACAGGATGCTCCTGTCGGGATGCTCTGGACGGGACTGGATGCTCCTGGCGGGATGCTCCTGTTGGGATGCTCTGGACGGGACTGGATGCTCCTGGCGGGATG